ATATATATATATAAATATACAGTAAGACAGTTCGGTAAATATGTATCAGAGAGCTGCAACGATCACAATTTTTTCAATCATACCCGATCATTGACTCGGATTTCCAGAAGAATGTTTGTATTTTTTGATTTACATGCGTACGCATATATTATTTGTGTAAGAATGTCATACGCACATACATACATATGTGTGTACGTAAATATAGAGAAGCGCGCGTTTTTTATATTACTGATAAATGATAATAACTTGATTTGTACTGACATATGTACATATCTGCAGGATAGATGCGTATGAAAGTTTTAAATGATAAAAGGTGTGATTTATATATATTTTTGTTGTAATATATTAAGTTTTTTAATGATATTATGATAATATATCACATATGAAATTATATTAAATTATCAAAGATAAGAAATATTTAATATGCCCATTAACTACAAATATTGCTTTTTAAATTGCATAAATTAAAGATAATGTTATCAATTTTGCATGAATTCACAAAAATTCGCAAAATCATATTCATATCAATTGATATGATAGCATATGTAAACGTATAAAAATATAAGGCAAAAAGCCAACAGGCGTCTGTAAAAGCAATGTATATTGCAGAGCATAATTCTTATTGAATTCTCAGCTCTGTTCACTCATTTCTGTTAAAGTTTCTCCTGCCGAGCCAAAAGTGGTGAAATCCACTAATAGAAAATTCATGGCTCTTGACAGTTCACACGCTTGTCCGTAGTTGGACCTTCTCTATATTATACGTTCTCTGTTTGCATCAAATGTCTGCCCAATTCTCAAGGGACAAAAGACTGTGAAAGCAAATTTAATTGTGTGTACTGTCAACGAAGACATCACTAATTGCTTCATATTACAAATTTTCAAAATATGAAGCAAAATCAATTTCAAAAAACCACCGGTTTGGTCACTACAACCAAAAGTGATAACCCCGAAATCTCAAATCCCAAAAAAGGGAAAGAACAACCATGTTGCTCTAAAGCAGTAAAAATTCAAATTCAAATTCAATTCATTCAGAGAATGAAAGCAAAATTCTTTTACTCACTGCGGTCATCGCTATTGAACATAGAGGAGAATTATTCAAATTAAGAGCATTAATACATAGATCAAGGTTCTCAAAGATCCTTTATATCATCAAAATTGGGCTCAAATTGCCAATAAAACATGAAAATTTTCAAATTTCGGGAATGGGTGGAAGAATTATGCAAAATTCGAACAAAATATGCCTAATTACATTGTATCTCCAAATGCGGATATTGGAATAGTTGCGCAAGCCATCGTTCTACCGCAACTTACAAATTTGCTTCCAAGCTATGAAGTAAATAAGATACACTGGGAAAATGCCCACATCTCAAATTAGCAGATCCCAATTGTCATACTTCATCACAAATTGACATATTATTAGGCAGTGACTTAATACCTCAAATAATTCTTGAAGGTATAGAGAAAAACTCCAATAAATTGTTAGCCCAAAATACAATCTTTGKGTGGAATATAAGTGGCCAAGTCCCTGAAAAAATCAATTCTTTCACCACACAAGTGGAAATTATCTCAAACGAGTTTTTAAATAATCAACTTAAAAAATTCTGGGAAATAGAAGAATTACCCCAAATCACCCAGCTTTCAGAAGAAGACCAGGCATGCGAAGCCTATTACAAATCCACAATAACAAGAAACGAACAGGATGGCTTTCGCTAATAATGATTCAAGCTAAAATCCTTATTAAAGAATTGTGGCAAGATGGCACCGAATGCTATGAACAGGTAAAACCTTTAAGTTTAGCGAAATGGGTTCAATTTGCTAACAACCTACATACTATATCTGAAAATCGAATCCCTCGATGGGTAAATTTCACCCCTAATATTAACACAGAATTACACGGTTTCTGTGATGCCTCTGAAAAGGCTTACTGCGCAGCAGTTTACATACGCCCACAGTACGATAACTAAATATCTGCACACCTCTTGATAGCCAAAGCCAAAGTCGCACCTTTGAAGACACTCAGTCTGCCATGGCTTGAACTGAATGGTGCTCTTCTGTTAGCAATATTAAGTTCAATAGTTCAAACCCACCTGAAATTAACCGATCATAAAACGTATATTTGGTCAGCCTCAGAAATAGTTTTAGCGTGGTTATAAAAATCACCCTATTGCTGGAAGACCTACAGGGTGGCTGATGAAAGCCGCTACCAAAAAAAATTAAATAACTTTTTTTCTGTTTAATGAATCTGGTTAATTTTTTTTTTTATTTTGCGGATTGACTTTTACATTTAACAAAAATGGATAACTGGGACACTGAAACAAGAATTTCTATTGTCCGCCGCTATCACGCACTGGAGTTCGTAGTTTCGGTTCAAAGAGATTATAGGCACACGTTTGGCGGCAATCTTTCGAGTGGATGGACCATAATGAGACTTGTAAATTTCGCCGAGCATGGGACAGTCAACAGAAGATTTTACCATCGAAACCCTTCAGTTCGAACGGAGGAAACAATCGGTGCTGTAGCTGCTGCCATACAAATCAATCCAAGTGTTTCGACAAGAAGCTTATCTGCTCAAATGGGTGTAAGCAGACAGTCATTACAGTCAATTATGCACAAAGATTTGGACTTATGCCTTTATAAAATTCAAATGGCCAACAAACTGAATGCTGCAGACTTGCCGATTCGCTTGGAATTTTGCCAGAAGATGCTTCAAATGGGGGAAGATAATGGAAACATGTTGAACTGTCTTTTCATGTCTGACGAGGCCCATTTCGATTTAAACGGCAACATAAACAAACAAAATTGTCGAATACGGAGTGCTTCCAACCCACAGTTACTCCATGAGACGGAATTGCATCCACTTCGAGTCACAGTGTGGTGTGCAGTTTCATCACGCTGCATTGTCGGGCCCTACTCTTCGAAGAAAACGGTCATACCGTTAAGGTTACTGGAGACCGTTACTTGAGCATGTCGAGAGAGTTTTTCTATCCAGAATAACGCCGAATGAGAATTTCTTTCAACTTTGTGTCGTTTTAGTAAGATGGTGCAGCTCCTCACATAGCCTAACCTGTTATGGCAGAATTGCGACGAAAATTTCCCAAAAAGCTGATATCCATAAATTCCATATTCCGTTGGCCACCCAGGTCGCCTGACCTTACTGCACTTGACATTTTCTTGWGGGGCTATTGCAAACAGCAAGTTTATAAGGCAAAACCAACAAATTTGAATGACTAAGGCAATCCATTCGAGAAACAATTGCGGCTATYCCTGTCCCAACTCTCCAAGCAGCAATGAACAACTTTTTGGTAAGATGCCGCACATGCATCAACGAGCAGGGGGGCTAAATGCATTATTTTTAAAACTAATTAAGCTATATTTACCATGAATAAAAGAAAAATGAATTCCATACACTGAAAAAAAAAATTGTTCGAGTTTCTTAATGTAGCAAAATTCATCAGCCACCCAGAATGATAGCAGAAACTGAAAATTTTGTAGATATATGTATAGTACATATATAGTATATTTCAACTTTTTTGACCATACATCATTTTGCATTTTAGGTGATGATACATATAAGGACTTTCGTTATTATTATAAATTTTAATTTAAATAAGCCAGTCAGTGTATGACTTCTCTTTACAAAATTGCATGCAAGTATGTATGTTCTCGAGTATACATAAATTAATATTAACATTATTTCACATATATCCATCTTACATCGTAGATATCTGAGTTGAGTTAATAATGTTGATTTTAATGTATTAAGATATCTCAGGCAAACAACAAAATAACTTATAAGATAAGTTAATAATGTAGCAAATGTGATAGTACGAGTAACCCATTCACGATATGTCGAGTAATAAATATTGAATTCTTATTTTATAATTATATTATTTTTTTTTTATTCTTTTCAGATTGTGTTTTGAAATGGCTTTCAAGAAGACAAAATTCAATGCCAGTACAGATTGACTCAGAAATCTTTCGTGTAATTCCCAAGCATATGCGCAAGCGAATCAAAAGTGCGAACGGATGTAACAATCAAAACATCGCTTAAGCTTTTAAAATTGCACACTACCTTTATTTGACTTTTAAAAAAGTAATAAGTGGTTGAAATATTTCATACTACTAATGTGTTATATTATAGACAAAACGAAAATTAAATTTTTACTTGCTACTACAATTATACTAGATTAAAATATTTACTAGTAGTGCATCAAACTTGAATAAATTAGTCAAAATGAAGCTACATCTCACAGAAGAAAAATTTTGGGATAGTGAGCGTGATCTCACCTCCTACTTGCTTTATATCCTTAGCTCAAAAATTACTAAAGCTTTTAATGAAACTTGCATATACTTTTCATTTCAGCAGTCCCATATACAAAGTGACTAAAATCGGGTACTAACTACATCTCCTGGCTCATATAGCAGCTGTGTTCATAATTACTCAAGGTGTTATACCTGTAGTTCGCTGAAAAACCTGAAATTATAACGTCAACGTGTTAACGTTTGTTAAGTTTGTTTAACCAGGAATTAAACTTCTGAGACCCTATGGTATATAACTTAACAAACTTTTTTCAGTATACTGCATTAGGCCCTTTAACGCTACCCACTACAAGAATGTTAAACCACAAAAAGGCAACAACAAGACTGTCCGAAAAAATTGAAGCATTAGAGGAAAACTTTAAAATACCCACATATTTATATCGGCCTAATAAGGAGAAGCTATTTGAAAGACAAATTCTGTATAAAATCCCTGCAGACTTCTGAAACATCGATTATTACGGTATATTAAGTTTCGATAGTACCGACAATACTTAGCAGTTGGCTACGTTAATGCCGCAATATTCACAGCAAGAGAAACTGAAGATTTGTGCAGAAAGTTAGACCAAGCAATGATCAAAGCACAAATCTGGCTTGGCGTGCGAGAAGAGTGCTCCTTTTTCTGCCCATTAAGCTCCCGATGATGGAGAAATTCATTATCATATCAATGATCACCTCATCATAAATCAAATACTTTCGAATTGTAATTGCCCTTTACCATATAAATTCGCTAAAAATTTATACAAGAATACTAAGTATATTAAGGGAGGGGTTAGGGTTTCAACGTAAAAACATACATTACTTTACGAATTTATTTCTTAAATATGGATTGAGTAATTTCGTTCTTACCATTTTTACATTATTGAGCAAACTTTCGACAAGCTTGATACCGTAATACTGCGTCTATCACCACCTTAATAGCACCCACTTCTGCCTGAAGGGCAATACAGGGATCCAGTAGCCTAAAGCTAAGATTGACGGAGGGCTGCTTACAGAAATCTTCACCTGCAGCCGTCCTCACTACCCCTCTTCTCCATGCAGTTGAAGAAAGGGAGAAGTTCAGCGTGTCTTTTCAGTATCCAGCTTCTCTGAGCCTAAGAACTCAGTTTGTAGCCATATACCTACCGGCGACTGACCTGTCTTTGAAATAGACATGCTGGGCCTTTAATGGTTTACACCTCGGTATTCTGAACTTTAAATAATGATCCATTAGTCTATCGTATTCAACAGAAGGGAGGATAAGCTTATTGGCCTGATATGCTTGGTATCGACGTGAGAGCTCTTTCCGGTATCCGTGTAGGCGCCGCCTCTACCATTATCTAGGCTCTCGGAACACGGCCTACTCTAACGCAAATCGCGTAGATGATGCCCACCAACTACGTGATATCCCCTGCAGTTGCACCGGTATGATGCCATTAGGGCCTAGAGACTTGAAAGCTTTGAATGAATTCAGGTGGCGTTCGTCCAAAAAGTTCAAGAAAACTGTATAGGCCTTTTGACGTTACCCCAGTGGCACTTCTTCGGCGGAATAGCTCAACGAAAAGGGAGCATCCAAGAGTAGTTGCAACGATTCCTCGCTGCACGCGGTCCAACCACTATCCGCATTTTTCAGGCCCTGCAGGAGGAGGAAGAATGCACCTAAATGACTTGTGCCAACCCAATGCATTTCCGAAGAAGGTTCTTCATGACAAGCCAGGCCTACCTTATATAACACCTAATCGTCGCCAGAGCCACTTCTACGGGTTTTGTTGAAGAGCCTTTTGCTCGAAGATCTCACCTGCGTTAGCTCTGATGTCTACCTAAGAGGTTTCGCTTTGCCTTTTTGAGTTTTCGGAGGACAAGAGCTTTGAAGCTCTATTCCGAGAATAGAGAATTTCCGATTATTACACAGGCCCTTCTGCACATGGCCTCTTTAACACTTTGAACCCTGCGTGCCCCGGTGGACATTTCTGTTTTGACGATTTTAGACAATGTGACCACCCGCGGTCATACGTCGTGTTTCATTTACCGACGTTGTAATCACCGGTGGAAAGGTTCTGCATACATTTTCCATTGAAATAAAATTTGTTTGGTCCCAGGATGTAAGCCTTTTTGACTTGGACTTTGTAATTTAAAAAGTAAGAAATATATTATATATTTTAGATAAATATATTTTATTTTGCATTAAAAAAGATTTTTTATTAACGGAAACAAGTCCAATTCAATATAACTCTTCCAAAATTTCATTTTAGGACTTAAAAAGTAATATATATAATATAAAAAAAACAGTTGAATATAACTATTCCAAAACTATTCAGAAAAAAAATTAATGATGAATGATTTATTTGTGGTTTTGAAAACACACTAAACATATTGCTTCTTGACATTGCTCACAAATAGTGTTCACCCTTTTGGCATTTTTTCGCGCACACGCCGCGTTGTGTCTCCTTGACATTGTTTTATAAGATGTAACACATCTCTTTCTGGTCTTTCGACCCTCCAATTCTTTTAATATGTGTTTTTTGGGATCGCTAGATGTCGATGGTCGCATCATATCCGCATCTGAATTTAATTCATTGAATCGCGTTATATTCATCCTTTTTTCATTCAATGTATTAAAAAGATGTAAGGCGTTTACAATTGTGGTAGCAGTTATTAGATGAAACAATAAACGTTTGTACCATTTTACTGTGCGACGACAGTAGGGAGCATACACTGCCATCTGATCTGACAAGTCGATAAATGATTTACTTTTGTTCTAGGCTAACGCTACAGCTGGTTTGATGCATTCTCTTCCTTTGTGCAAAAAAGTTGTAAGTGAATCGTCATGCTTTGTAGTTAGCATTAATACATCGCGTTTGTCTTTCCACTTTAGTACTACTGTTTTATTTTCGTTCTGTCGGGATATTATTTCGCCCTTTTTTAATGTTGCTTCTATTACTTCTGGAGGATTCTGTTTTCGATTGGCTCTTAAAGTTCCAACGTATCGTCCTGTTCACTTTGCCTGTATAGACTTTGAATGACCAGATGTAACCTCCTGCTACACAAAGTTTAAAAACTTTAATGCCGTATCTATGCCACTTATTAGGTATGTATTGCCGGAAATGTATCCTTCCACGGAATGGAACGTTACTTTCATCAATACACACGTGATTTTCTGGAACGTACGCCTCTTTGAACTTGGACTGGAGCGTATTTAGAACTTCAGATATTTTGTGAAGACGATCATTCAGATTTGCTTGGCTTTCGTTATCAGAAGTATGAAACATGGTCAATAATTGTTCAAATATGTTTCTACTCATAAATGTAGGAATTTCATTTTGATTATATGTTCCTGGACCAATAATCCCTTTGTTGTGGTACTTGAAGTAGACCCATCCAAATAATAATTCCAAGAAATGTACGCATTTCTGAAGGATCGGTATCTACCCATTTTGCTAGCCTTTTTGTCTGCGATCTATTGGAAGAGTTTTCGACTGCAATAATGTGTTGCGCAGCAAACCTGTTAGTTTCTGTAACAAACAGATTTTCACGTCATCAGATATAAAATAGTTAAAAAAATCTGAGGAGATTTTCCAGTTAAAGTGGCAGCAACATCAGGATTCACGCCTGTACACATCGGGGACTCAACAAACGTCAACCGATCTCCACCAACAGGCCCCCATGTTCGACTATTTATCAAGTTTGCATCTCTCTTCATCCAAGTCCATTGCTGTGTCTTCATTACTATCGTCGAAATCTTCGTTATCAGATTCTAAATCCGTACTTTCAGAATCTGGCTCAAAGTCATTATCAACAAATGAATCATCTGAAAATCCTGTAACTTCGTCTACACTCGATTTTTCGAGGTCGTCAGCAATGTCATCACGTGTTAAAAGTTTTCTAGACATCTCAAATTAGATCTATAAAACAAATAAATGAAAAAAATACAAAAATAAAAAAGATACATACATAAAAATATAAAATTAGAGTATGCTCACTGGTAACCACTTGGACGTAATATGTATTTTAACATTCTGGGACAATGTGACCACCGGTGGTCACAAAAAAAAATAAACTGGAAAAAACAACAAAAATGCATTTGGTTTATCAAAAATAAATATCACAAAGTCACCTCAATCGCAAAAATCAATAAAACTAAGTAAACAAATTTTGGTCCCGGCTTGTCAACTAAAGCACAACCCTTCGTCAGCATGCGGCCCACCGGTGCAGAAAAAAAATGACCACCGGTGGGCATGCGGGGCTCTAAGTGTTAAGACCGTTTTCTCCCCTTTTGCGACACTGAGAGGATCAGGGACTCTTAGTTTAGGCTTCTTCACTTTCTTCGGCAGTGAGGAGTTTGGCATCGGGAAATCCGATTTGCCCACGGCTCGAGCTTCGAGACTTCCCCACCCTGAATTTATAATAGTTTTGCTCACCTAAAGTTATATATATAAACGAGCAGGTTGAAGAGAAGAGTTAAAACCCGGATATCTGTATGTTTGTCTGCCTATCCGTCTGCATATGAAAAATCAAATTGCATCTAAAAACTTGATACAGTTATTCCTTACCAAAAAATTGAGGACGAGTTGGTAGACGGGCGTAATTGGACCACATAACTAGTGCTATAACCAATACCTTAATTAAGATGCAAATCGCAAATTTGTCACAGGAAATTTCAGTAGGCAACTAAATTTTAAAAAGTGGTTGTAGCCCCTCCCTCTAAAAGGTTTACTGCGCATATCTGCTAAACCACTAGAACTACAAAAGTTAGAATCACGTCGAGCAGATATTGTAAGAACTACAGACAGTGTTAATATACATAGATGAAATCGGATCATAACCCGCTCATTCTAAATATAACG